GCGCTGGGCTAGTTTGACTAGTGGGCTGAGTTTGGATTTGCCTGTGTGGTTGTCATACCATACAGGCTCACTTTATGTATCTGAGGGCACATTGTTCCATGCTATATACTTTTTGCTACGCCCCGGTGATTCGTTTTTTGTGTTTGTTTTGAGTGTCTATCGGTTTGGTATAAGTACTAAGTGTTTATGTTGCGACGAAATCATGTTTTGATTGTACCACGTTTACGGAGATCCTTTGCGTAAGTGGTGGTGGCGGCGGAGGCACGTCTCATGTGCGCTAGACCCCAGCTTGTCCTTCCCTGTCTTCCGCCCCGCCACCCTGAACAAACTTAGAATGAACGCTAGGTAGAGCGTGGTAACGAATGGTTTGAAGCCGCTCCCACGTCTCCGCGCGCCAAACCCGTGATGGTTCCCTCGCGTCACGCGCCTGGCTGGACGCTCATCTGCAGGTCCAGGTGGGGCTGCACGAGCTCTTCGGCCACGGTAGCGGCAAGCTGTTCGCCAAGGACAAGGACGGCAAGCTGAACTTCGACGAGAAGACGGTGAAGCACGCGGAGACGGGCGAGCCGGTGAGCGGGGGGCGGGGGCGGGGTCCCGCGCGGCCCGGGCTGTGGCCGCTGTCCCTCAGACAGCGCCGCCCCGCCCGCGGTGGGGTCCGCCGCGCCACGCGAGCCGCGCGCCATCCTCGCCGTCGACACATGTGAGACGCGGCCGGGATGTGTCGCTGGTGGGCCGCCGTGACCGGGGCACGTCACCGCGGAGGCGCGGCTGGCGGTGACGTGCCGCTGGCGTGTCGACACCGGTGCTCGTAATCCGTTGCCGAACTCCGCTGTGGTCGGTCGTCGGCTCCGGCTGTGTCACGTTCGCCGCCGGTGCGTCGTTGGCCGGATGGGATCAGTGGCCGTGGGCGACAGCGGGCGCCCGACCCGCCCGACTGTGACGCGCCTCGTGGCCCTGCCGCAGATTACCAGCTTCTACACGCCGGGCGAGACGTACGACGGCGTGTTCACCGACCTGGGCTCGGCGTACGAGGAGTGCCGCGCCGAGTGTGTCGGCCTCTACCTGTCGCTCGACGACGAAGTCATGGAGTAGGTGATCGGCGCGCTTGGGCCGCGGACTTCGGACCGGGGCAGGGAGGGGGCGGGTGACGTGTGGAGGGTCGTGCCTAGGGCAGGTGGGGTCGAGACGAGGCTGTTGTGGGAGTCGTGGCGTTGCTCTCCGAGTCGTAACAGCCCTTTGCGGGCTGTGATGGCGGTCATAAAACTGTGCGCTGACATCCGGAGCTCGTCAAGGGACATTTTTTTGTTCAGGAATGTTTCACGGTTTCGTGATGATAATGTCACATGTATGCAAAGATACGCGCCAGATGTTTACAAAGGACTCGCGTCGGGGCATCATTGGTGCTTACGTGCGCGATTTGGCCGCCAGTCCAGGTGATCACTCGTTACAGCGGTGGTCGCCGCCGGCTGCCGTCGTGCTTATTTGTTTCGCGGCGTGACCGGCCCGTGACCTGACCTGACCTTGACCGGACCGTGACCTGACGCCGTGTCGTCCGGCCGGCAGCATTTTCTCCGTGGCCGAGACACTGCGCCCCACGCTCGTCTACGTCAACTGGCTCAGCCTGCTCTACAACGGGCTGGCCAGGGCGCTCGAGATGTACTCGACCGAGACGAAAAAGTTCATGCAGGTAACGGGCTCGGTCGGGTCAGGTCAGGTCACGCGGCGCCGCCGGGGCCGCCGCCGTAACGCCGCCCCGCCGCAGGCTGTTCGACTGTCGCGGCGACACGGGCCGGCTCGTGACATACGTCAACTGGGTGGACAACCTGTGGGACGGGTTCGCCAAGTGTCTGGAGCAGTACGACGCGGCGGCGCGCAAGTTCATGCAGGTGACGGCGCCGGCGGGTCGGACGGGGCGCGCGGCGCGGGTGCTGTGTTCGCCGGCGTGCGGCCGGCCTGCAGGTGTGGCGCGGGACGCCGTGAGCCATTCAGTTCTGAGCCTGGGCCTGGACGGGGTGCGGTGCGAGGCCGGGGCTGTGGGATGTGACCCAACATCCCGTCCTGCCCTGTCGGCTGGTGGCCTTTGATCTGCCACTGATGTGGAGAAAACTGGCGAGCCCGTCGCTGGCGGTCGCGGCTTGTGGCTGGCTGCCAGTCTGCTTAAACAGTTTGCTGGTGAAAGTATGTATACTGATCAGTAGTCTGCACGCTGGAGCGGACGGGCTCTGTGCCGATTATACAATCTTCGTTTACGCTGAGTGCAGGCGGTGGTGGTACGGCGCGAGTAATCTGTAGAGGAATGTGGGCACTGAGTGCACATGTGCTGACGGTGATCCGCCCCAACACGTCCTTTGCGGAGGTGTTGCGCAGTTATTCGGCAGCGCCCAGAGCTGCGGATATGGGTGAAAAAGTCTCGCCCAACTCATGTGGAGACGATTCCCTACGGATGGCTAAGTCGCCCCTTCAGATTTCTGCTCGAAGTGCGCTCCAGGCCGCTGCAGTATTATCGGCAGCGATCAGCTCCCGGTTCACCGGGAGACGTCCCGACGCCATGAGCGCCCCGGTTCCCACGCGAACCGCCATCGCCAGGCTTGCTGCACGGGCAGGGCTCCGCTGCTCCGATCCGACGCCCCTCCGATGTGGAGCAAGCTGGGACCGCCGCTCACGCCCCTCCCCCCCCCCCCCCCCGCGTCCTCACAGGCGCACAGCCGGGCGCGGTACGTGATCCTGCGTGTGCTGCTGGAGCACGGCGACGGCGTGGTGAGCATCGAGGAGCGGCAGGACGCCGACGGCCGGCCGGATCTGCTGCTCACAGTCTGCCGCGACAAGATCCACACCGCTGGCAAAGAAGGCCATCGGCGACTTCCTCACCCGGCTGCAGGTGAGTCGACTTGGCAGAAGGCCGCCGCCGCCGCCGCTCCGCCACGGAGCGGCGCGGCGGCAACGGCGCATCCGAACACGGACCCGAGCTGGCTGCGGACCACAGCGGGCTGCTGCTACGAGAGCCGCTCTCGTAACAGCAGCCCGCTGTGGCGTCCGTGGCGTGGTGGCAGCATTCTGTGGCAGGGCTAGCAGCGGACAGACACCGTCACCGCGGCTTAGAAACCGTGGACTTCATTGCCAGGGTTTTCATCACAACTGCCCCCTGTCGGCTATTCCTTTTATCGCCCTCATTTTCTTCCTCGGCGCCTTATTTTCCTCCTGTGTCTTTGACTTTACCCCTTCCCTATACATTTCTTATTATCCTCTTACGTTCTTCGTGCAAGTCTCCCCCTGGCCATCCTGCCGGCACTGCCCCCCCCCCCCCCCCCCCATCGCGCAATAGGCGTCGCTGGACGGCCTCTCCCGTGGCGCGTCGGCGCCAGCCCGCGCCGTTGGAGCCGGCGCCGGGTTTGGACTGTGTGCTGCTGCCGGCAGGTGTACAAGGCGACGGCGGACGTGGCGGCGGCGCGCGCCATGTTCGACCACTACTCGGAAGTGCCTGACAGCGGACTGCACCCATTCGCCAAGTGGATTCCGATCATTCTGGAGAAGAAGCAGCCGCGGCGTTTCCTCGTGCAAGCGCACACCGAGCTCAAGGGTGAGCCGACGGCGGGGGGGGGGGGGCTCCAGGGTCGGGGTGCAGCCGGCACGGGAGAGGGAGCGGCTGGCGCAGGCGGACCGAGGGCGAGGGCGGGGGTGCCTAGTGGAGCCCCGTTGTCTTGTGTTCGCTTGGTGTGTGTTAAATTGGGGGGGGGGGGGGAGGCAGTTACTGTTCAACCACAGACGTAGCGCTGCTCGAGCTCGCGGGCTCTAGATGGGCGATCGGTGGGGATGCGTTCCGAAGTCGGTCATGGGAGCGATGGGGGAGGGCACGCGTCGGTCATTGATTGTGCTCATCAGGTAGGTCAGGCCGGTGAGTTTTAAAGGAATCAGTTACCGTGTTGGAGCCCGTCGCATCGAGCACCAGCTCACCATGTGTGTTGTTAACTTTTTCGAAAGGATCTGCCTGGGTTTGCTGAAGTGTAGATGACTGGCGAGTTTAGTGGGGAAGGTAATGGTACTGGAAGTGTCGCGTTCGGCCGTGCGGCAACCATCGACGGGTTTGCTTGTGAGAAGCTAGATGAAATCAGATTACGTCACTACTGTCGCTTTAATTGTTAATTATAATACTTGATTTGATGAGCTAAAATTGATAACTTGATTCAGTTGTGATGCTTTGTTTGAATTTTTGAATTTTCATTCATCTGAGCTCCGGATTTTGCGCCGGAGGTGGTGGTTTGCCTCGGCGCCCGGCCCTGCCCTGGCCGCACGGGTCAGCGACCCTGACCGGCGGCCCGTCGCCAGGCGACGACGTGCTGCTGCGCCAATACGAGTCGACGCCCGAGGGCCTGATCCAGTCGTTCGTGGACCGCTTCCCGGACCCAGCCATCGAGGACCGCCTGCTCGAGCTGCACCAGAAGGACGCCAAGCACTTCCCCCTGAAGCGGCCGGCCGTCGCCGCCCACCTGTGATTCTCCGGACCGGTTTAAGGCCTATTTGAGTCTGACCGAGTCTGAGACGTCATGCCAAATACACGATTCTCGAGGCAGCCGAACTAGTTGGTCTGCGGTGCGACCGCAGGGCTTCGCTTACTCAGTGTATTCGGCGTCCTTCACGAGCTGCACATCTCACCAACAGTACGCGTCACTGCATATTGTTCACTTATGTTTGGATATCGGTTTTAGCGAAAGGCCTGCTCATGATTTTGCTGACTTTGAGACGCTTTCTGGACGTGGGACTGCGGGGCTTGGTATTGTCCCTTAATGACACTTAATGAAAACTCAGTTTACGAACCTCCACTCCGCGCGCGCAATATCACTTCTGTCTCTGTGCAGCATGCTCTTGCTGCGCTGATCCCTCAGCAAACGGTTCTTCGCACACGCATCCACAGACTGGTAATGTTGACCCGTGGCGAACTGCCAAAAATGCAGCTGTAGCGGAGGTCTGCAGTTTGAAGTGACCTCATCGCTCGGGTTCGCCCATTGGCAGAGGTCTGGACCGACGCGGAATCGGAGCGGCCGTGACTGACGTAACGTCGCGAGGAGAGGGCCGCGCCGCCGCGCCGGCTCCCGTGGTCAGCTGAAAGACGGCCTTGCTGGCCCCGCGGGGCTGACGGGGCCGGCCGGGCCTCGCTGTTTCGACACCGAACGGTTACACGGCGATCTAGCACGCTTGGTCGTCGTGGCCGATGGGAATGTCTTCCGTGTCTGGAAACAGGGCAGGTTACTTGTCTGGACACGGATGTTCTCACGGGCTGCGAGAAAGTCGATTGGTTTCCATGGAAGCGATATGTTGTTTGCTGCTCTATATCATGGTGTAGTGTAAAAAAGAGCGACCTCTTTCCTTGGAGAACACTCGAAAGCATCTTGGTTTTGTCTACGAAGCCTGCAGGCTTCCCACACTTGTCAGCGTACGTCGGTCGAGTGGCGGACGCAATTAATCAGTAGCTGTCAACGATTTCAATGACCAATAGCCGCCGAAAGCTACAAACTACCAAAGTCCCCAGAAAGTCGGCACCCCTAGCGCACCTGCGCTCCCCGTGAGCGATGCGAGACTCGCCTCCCTTTCCCCCGAGCACGACCGCCCGGGCCGCGGCCGGACGCTCACCTCTGTTGCCGGTGTAGGCGTGCTTCCGTAGCCGGTCGTACAGCTCGTCGGGCTTGGGCTGGCCCGTGTACAGACTGGCGCTGGCCGGCGGCAGCGTGCCGCCCTTACTCGGCGACGGGCCGTCTGCGCGCAGGCGTCGGCGGTCACGGCACGCCACGGCATGTCTCATCGCGTGCCCGCTGACGCTCGATGACGTCATGTAATCCGCTTAGCGAACACCTCGTGGCGACGGACAGTCCTGAATGCATAATACTGTGCCCAGAGATCCGTCAGACGCTTGACTTTGGCTGAACAGACATGCGCGCAGTCGGCGTGACAATAAACTACCAAGCGCGTCACCCGCTGTCTCCCGCACCTCGGACGAAGGCCTCGTTTGTAGTAGTTGGGCATCTCCCAGGCCTCGTCCTCTTCGTCGTAGTAGTGCGCATAGTTGGAGTGGTGCGACGGCGCGATGCTCTCAGCGTACGGGGTTGGCGCACCGTAGTAGAAATTCACCTGATGAAGTGCAGGCGGTGTCAGCGCGCCCACAATCGGTGCGTTGCCCGATGCTAACGCTTAATACCATTTCAGAGATTATTTAGAACGTTCCCGGCTGGGGAGTTGTCTCACCAACACAGGCGCTTAGTTGTTGGGAGAGTTGGACAACATTCCGTTAAGTGAGTAATCGGCGCGCGTCGCTGCCGTAACGTCCCCAGCCTTTCACGTCGATTGTCAAATGAGTTGCCGCAGCGAGCGATGCCGAGCACCATCCTAGCTTGCGCGCCGGAGTACCATCCCCGGTGGGGCGTCCCGGGACACGTACCTGCGACGCAGCGTCCGGCGGCAGCGTCATGGCCTTCTGCCCCGGCTCCTGCTGCTTCTTCCTCTTGTTGGCCCTAGCGCAGATCATCCACACGAAGAGCACGCAGATGATGGCCACCAGCACGAAGCCGGCCACGCCGCCGGCAATGTAGGCGAACTTGGACTTCTCTGCACACCGCTCCCCTGGTGACGTCAGGCGAGGTCAACCAGTGTCCGTTTTTGTCACGCCCAAGGTCAGTTGGGGTCAGCCAAGGTCGAGTGAGGTCAGTCTTAACCAGGCAGGGACAGTCACGATCAGGCGCTGTCTGCGAAAGTACGACTGGCTCGGCCGAGGAGCTCAGGATCTGACGGGGTGATGTGATGGGTGGGTTTATCCGCGGCGTACCACCGGCAAGGGCTGGTCAACGCCGCCGGGCCGTGGAGCGCTGCAGCTAAATGACCGCGGGATGTAAATGTTACATTAACCCATCACAATCCGAACAAGGAACACTTCGCTGTCCTGATTTGACCTGCCCGACATTCTGACCTGACCCGACGTCCTGACCTGACCCGGCGTCCTGACCGGACCCGACGTCCTGAGCTGACCCGACATTCTTGCCTGACCCGGCGTCCTGCGCTGCCCCTGTACGCTGACCTGACCCGATGGCGGCCGGCCCCGTCGCCGCCGTGGCGCTCACCGGTGAATGAGCCGGTGCACGCGCAGGATGGCAGTCCGGTACGCTCGTCCTTGCTGCACGTGCCCGCGTTGTCGCAGAAGCCATGGCAGCGGTCCGTGCAGTTGAAGCCGTCGCCGCTGAAGCCAAGCTTGCACTCGCAGCGGAACGCGTTGGTGACGGCGTCCAATCAGACAGATGGCCTGCGCGTCGCACTGCGTCGCCTCGCCGGCGCCGTCGCACGGGTTGATGCACAGCTCGGCCGAGCTGGCGCCGACCTGGGGGCACGCCCGGGTCAGGTCTGCCTGCCGCTGTTTTTTCGGCAGCCGATCGAAGCGGCTTGAGGTCACACGCAGAGGTCGCCGAGTTACGCCGGGTGCATTGGGCGTGATGACGCGGGCGGCCGAGACAAAAGATGCGTGTGCATCCGATGACCAGTTTTAGTGAGCTGAATGACCTAGATTTTACATGACGCCACACAGGTTTCATGCAGTCTGGCTCGTTTTGCTCATTTGCTGGAAGCCTGGCGTGGATTCTTTTCGACTGACGTACCTGGATTATTGAAGATAACGATTCTATTCGACATAGCGAAGCTTCCGAACCGGACGGCTGAATCATTCGTGAACGTCGCTACAGCTGGCGCTAGTTGACCTTCAACGGGAGTGTCCCGGCCAGGCAAGGAACACTCGTTGCCACTAATCCTCAAGGGTAGCCTGAGTCTGAGTCAACAGCTGGCCGGGGCAAGTCACGAGTTTTACATCAGTCCGTCACAATGCCAGCAGATCTCAGACGTGTGCCGTTGGTGGCGCGCCAAGCATTCCGAGCCCTCCAGCCGGTGACGGTGCCCTGACCCCGACCGATCTGACCTTTTCGGTGGTGGTGTCCGTGGGGCAGTCGAGACACTCCGTCTGCAGGGACTCGGGCTGGTAGGTCGCCAGTGGGCAGCTCTCGCACCGGTTCCCCTCCGTTGTGTGTGAGGAACGTGCCTGGACGGGTGCAGCGCGTTAACCAACGAGATGAGATCGCGCGCCACTCGGCGCGGACAAATTCCACCCCGATCAGGCTTAAGGCGGGCGTGCTTGGATTGTTTTCTCTTCTGGCGTTTTGATCGTAAGGATATCGAGCGCTGTCCAATTGGTTTTTGTTATAGAACTCACCGCTGGATGCCCAGCGCCACGGTTAGGTGAACTGATGTCGGCCTTTCCGCTCAAACACGAGACTGTACGGTGCTGCTGTCCGTGCCCCAGCATGAAGGCACCGGCCTCCTCACGGTATAACGCAAAGTTTGTCTGAAAACAAGCGCACACCCGATAGCCCCCACATCACCCCCACGTCAGCCTAATATCTCGTCGTCTCGTGGCTGGCGGGGCGACGCACCTGGCTGGCAGACGGGTAGCGAGCAGTCATCGGAGATCGTCGAGCCCGTTGTCGCGGTCGTGGTGCCCTCGGGGCACAGCGAGCACGTCTGCTGCGCGTCGGCCGCGCGGTACGTGCCACGTGGACACGGCTGGCACGTGTTGTCCAGGGCCAGCTGTTGGCCGCTTTCGCAGGCCGCCGTGCAGTCCTGCGGAGTGGGCGACTCCTTTGTTGTTTGTTTCTCAGGGCGATAATGCTGCTGCCATGAGTCATGGCTCATGTGGGAAGTCAACGACACTGGGGGGCCTAACGTTACCAGGCAGTTCCTTAATCTGCCAGTGGCAATCGCCATGTCAGCATGTTTTCTGTGGTCGTAATGCTTTGATGGACGGTCGAAATTATGCCATATCTTGTTCAGATACCCTATTTGGCAGCACGAATAACCTACTAAGTGGCAGTAACTCCCCCTACGTCGTCGCAATACCCCACGACGCTGTCACAACACCCCACACTGTGGTCATAATACACCACTATGACCGTAATACCCCACCCTGTGGGTGCAATGGCCAGTTCAGACTGCCCCTGCCGCGAAGTCCTTGTGCTCGGGACGGGCCCGGCCCGGCGGCGCCGGTCTCACCTTGGAGGAGGTGCTCTTGGCGCTGCGTGTGGTCAGGCCCGGCTCACAGGCGTTGCAGGAGAACTGGCCGGCTCGGCTCTGGTAGCGCCCCACGCCGCACGGCTTGCACATCTGCAGCCGCGTGTCGAAGTGGTGTCCGGGCGAGCAGCGCTCTTGAGGGAAACAGGTCAGGTCGGTCAGGTCATAACAGGTCAGGTTAGGTCAAGTTCGAGCCGGGCGAGCACTGCTCTGGGGAGAGGGCAGGTCCGGTCAGGCCAAACGCGAGCTCGGCGAGCGCCGCCCTGGGCGAGGAGACGCTCAGATTAGGTGACACGCGGACCGTACGAGCGCCGCTCTGAGGGAAACAAGTCAGGTCAGGTCACAGGCGGGCTATGTGAGCACCACGCTGGGGGCAGGTCACTTCAGGTTAGGTCAGTGAGGGTTCGGGAGTACAACGCTCTGGGAAGGCAGGCCAGGTCAGGGCAACAGCGGCCGGACCAGCGATCTTGGGAGCCTGGTCAGGGCAGCTCCAGAGGGTGTATAGCGCTCTGAAGAGACAGATGGCGGTCGGGAATAACCCTGGAGAGACTAATGGTCAGTTGACTTGTCTCCATACTGGCGTCTGCGTTTACGTGCGCCTCCCGCAGAAAGTGCCATCGGAGTTTTCGGAAAGCGTCCCAAGCGAACACCTGTATGAGTCCTTGTTTGAAGGCGGCGCCGCGCGAGCTCCCGGATCGGGCGTGGCGGCCGTGAACTGCCACGGATGCCGGCTGGCACCCCTCTCCTCCCCCTCCCCCTCCCCACCGCCCACCTCCCTCTCCCCGCTGCTGTCTCACGGCTGTGAAATGTTTGCACCTGTCCGATCCGCGGCCATCACCTGTCGGTTCGCGGGAGGCGTGCGGGCTTCCCAGGCACCGGCAGCGCCGCCCCAGCCGCAGCTTCATGGCACTGGGCCGAGTATCGGTTCCGGGTGGCTGATTCCCAGCATCGTTCAGAGCACCCGCAGCGCCGCCCCCAGCCGCGGCTTCATGGCACGGGGGCCGAGTATCGGTTCCTGGTGGCTGATTCTCAGCATCGTTCAGAGCAAGGATAGCTCGGTAATGGGTTGATACAGGTCGTTAGGTAAACCCGCAAAGAATATTGTCTTGCACCTCGCATATTGTTGTTGATCTCAGCCTCATTTTAGCGAGACCATCTGCATCAGAAGGTTCGCAAATGCATCAGCCTTACTGATGTAAGCTGCCAGCAGGCGCCCGTGTTCTGCCCCGCAAGTAACGGAAGCCAGAACGAACGCAGTTTTGACGCGACAAGTATGGAATCGACAGCCCTCTGATCGTTAACCTCCCTGCTGCCCACCGCCATTCTGCCACTCATATATATATATATATATATATATATATATATATATATATATATATATATATATATACATATATCCACCGCATAAACACTGAGGTAGCATTGTGCCCGATCCCTGCCACCAAGAACGGAACGCCACGCCCACCCTTTGTCGGACACTCTACGTCCGGACACTGGACTTCCGGACACTCGACGTGCGGACACTCGACGTGCGGACACTCGACGTTCGGACACTCGACGTCCGGGACGCTCGACGTTCGGACACTCGACGTACGGACACTTGACGTCCGGACACTCGACGTCTGGACACAGGACGTCCGGACACAGCACCGCAGTGTCGGACGCACGGCCGTCACTCACCCTTGCACAGGTCGGGCGGTCTGCGAGCCGCGCATGGCCGTGGTGGACTGGCGGCCAGCGATCGGCGGACACGGCGTGCAGCTCGACTGGCCCTGGCCGCTCTGGTACGTGCCGATGCGCACTTGCGGCACGTGCCGGACTCGACGGTCGAAGTACGTGCCGGCCGCGCACGCGACTGGGGAGCAGCGGCGCGACGGGTCATGCTGTTTGAGTCGGTGGTGACGCTGTCA